CCGCCTTTATAATTGCTGGAGATAATGGTGCGCAGGCAGTAGAGAGGAAAAATCATTCTGTCAATTGCTTGGCATGGCTRCTTATAGGGAAGGCCACTTAAGAGATGCTAACTACATATTTTGAAGCAATATTAATTTTGTGGAGGGGCCAGAAGAAAATAATACCAGAAATCAAAGTGAGCAAAGCTGTATGTAGGACTTAGTGGTATCTACACYGAGTTGACAAGACATGAAAGATTTTTGAGATAATACTGTTCCTCATTTTTAGACCTCAAGAAAAAACACCATCCTCCTAAATAAGGTATTTCATGGCTTGTTTTCCTCATTGTGTGTCCATCTACATTATTCTTGACTTGTTACCTGGYTAGGCCTGTCTTTCTCCTACCGGCTTATACTTTTTTCCTCAGTAGCTGAAGAGCAGCCCAGCAGCAAACTCTAAAAAACAAACAGACCTGTATGGAAAGTATCTGAATTTCCTCTAAGCCTGTCTAATGAATTCTAATCACTCTTATCTCACCTGCTTTCCAGAGTAGGTTCTTGCCRTTCTCTAACCTTTTAACTTAAGTTTCTGTGCATGGTTTTAATGCTAAAACTTCTTTTGTGGTTCTCTTATGCCATGAACAGTACACAAAACTATTAATTTTTATCTCTGGCAGAACTTGCATTCCTTCTACGTATTTACAATCTGCCAAACAGAACTATCATTCAGCAGTTTAGTCACTCTGTATCCACAAATGCCTCTGCATTCGGRGTATCTTTCTATTTTTTCCTACCTCCCAGGTACCCTATGTACATTTCCCAGCCTCAGGGAATGATCTCTCATGTTGCATTTTTATGAATGTTGTTCAGATGACCATGTCTTTTTGAGTAGTCCAGATCTTGGTGTATCACTTTGTGTTTACCTTCAATTTGTGGCATTCACCAATACCATACAACCAGTTGTAGAGGCTCTCGTAGAGTGCCTAAACTGAAAAGGAGTGGTGTGAAGTCTTTGGGACTATGTTAGACTTCTGTTGAATGAAATTTCCCTATGGATATTCCCATTTCTTATGGGTCTTCCTTCTGGRGGATTGAGTATGTCAATTTAAATTATTTTAATGCTAGACTAGATTTTTATAAATACTGGCTGGCTACTGCTGGCTATGTCTATATCAGGAATAAGCATGAGTCTGCAAATGAAAATACCTGGTGCTGAGCACWGTGTTCCCACTATGGCTCTGTGTGTGTGGTTTGTCTAGGTTAGCTCTTGCCTGCCCTCATGGACTTTCCCATCTATGAATTGTGGACAGTGCTGGGGATTCGGTGGTGGTGCAGCCTCTGGTAATCCATCTGAAAACTTCATGTTCATGTTCAGAGTGCAGTACATGGAGACAATCTGCTTCAAACCCACATTCCTGTCTCTCAGTCTTAACATCATCAAAGTGAGAATCTGCACTATTGCTGGTGCACAGATCAACACCTGTCAGACAGTCTGGGAGATTACTGTTGCCATTAATGAACATAATCCACATCTGGAGAAGGCACACAGGGATGTGCAAGATCTCTATCTCTTTGTYAGTTAATGGGAAAAGCTTACAAAGCCAATCTTCAAAGCAGATATAGCTAGAGATAGGAAAAAAAAGAAAACATTCTCTGTTCACTTGCCTCCAGTTTGATCTATTAGAGGCCTAACAAAATAATGGCAGAACACATTTTGATGTAATGGATAATTTGGCTTACTATGTTTAGTGCAGTGATCAAATTAATAGCAGGACTGACTTTTTATTTGGTTTATGGAAGGGTAAGAAAGGTAGGCCAAAGCTCCTGTTATCTGCTGCGTACTGAGGATATGCAGAGTACTCTGAGACAATTCTGGAAACAGGGACTATGTATTTTAGCTGGCGGTATGCTATGCAAACATTTAGTGAAAATTCTTAAACACCAAGAAAAGCAAATTACTCTGCCCTGGGGGAAGGGGGTTGGGGTTGTTAAATTCAACTGCTATTACTGCTGTGCAGTTGTTAAAAAAACACCACTGTAACAAAGCAGATGAAAGTATTCTGTCACTTAAGACATTTTGATACCAGAAAGGATCCCTAAAACATGCTAAAAGACAAATGCAATGTTTTTTCAAGTTGCTCACAACAGGAAAAGACTAAGAAGTAATACTGAACTGATAAYTTGAAATTTTACTAACATATTCCAGTATTCTTSTGCATCAGATAWCTTTTCAGAAGTACACTCTCAAGAATTTTCTATATTCTGAGTAGAAAAAAAGTAAAACTTCAAGAGGTTAGTTCCCACATTAGCCTGATGGTCATGTAACTGCTCCTCCCAACAACTGATATAGCCTTTTTCTGAAACCTCCTCATTTACGCAAAATCACAACTCAAACCTGTAGACCAAATCACTAACAGCAGTACAAAGAAATAGAAAAATCCACCTAAGTGCCTCTTTTCCCCTCTTCCCTCCCACTTGCATGAATATGCAAGCWTTTCAAGGTAGGTGTTTACACACATCATTTGTTGACTTGTTTTAGTGGCACTTGCAGAGCTGGGAGTTGGACAAGCAGAGAGGTCTACACACAAAAGTTGTCTAGAGCTGATATACCAAGCTTTCAGACCTGTCTCTGGAGCCTCCTCCTAATTCTCAGAACAACCACAAGCTGGCCCGCCAACAAACGTCCTCAGAGCTGCTCCAAAGGCTGGGCTGCAGACTGGGTAAAGACAGCACCAACAAACGAGGGAAGCTGCTGTGTAACAGCAATGCTCACATGGAGGAAGCTGTACTGGTTAACAGATAAGCTGCACTCACCTGTGCTGGCTAAACTGGGGGAGGTATAAAAGAAAGGCCAAGTGCCTTRACAGGCAGTGCTTAGGGAGGGTGTGCGTGGGCCCATCTCTTTGTGTGAGCTCCAAGTCTCAAGGCACCTTAAGTGTAGTGAAAACAACCCCCAGCATCAGCTCTTCTTCCTGCTTGATTTTATGTTGTGGTCACAGCTGCAAAGGTAAGGATGTTATTTTGCTCCTCTGGCATTGAGTCAAACCCCAGAAGTTTGTATTAGAAAAGTGGCCTGGAAAGTACTGTATTAACAGACATGCAAAGCCCCTGACTTCTGGGGAATAACCAGCTTTGAAATAAAATACGCTCAGCAATAATCCATGCACACTTCATTAATTTCAGAACTGCAACMGTAAAGTACTACTTAGAAAAAGCTGTAAGATAGTAATGAAGGCTTTGGGTTTTATTTTTATTTTTAATCCCATAAGCTCCTTATCTCTATTCTCCATATTTTTTCATTCAATTTACAGTAGTCTAAGTTAAAGCTCATCTAACAAAAAAATGACACATTAGGTTTGGCTAGCCTCTTCACTCCCCTCTTGATGAGAATCCTTTCTTCCTCGGGGGAATAAAGGCAACAACTTTACAACTGGTACATTGCTTGTATAAGATAACTTTTCTTTGCACTTTGTGTTTAAGGGAATTTGGCTGATCTGAGGTATTTCAGCACTTTAAAAAAATTGAGATAATGAGGGCAGCAATTTTTGCCAAGTCTTAACTAGCACAAAAGGATCTCTAGGCAGAAAGGCAGTATTTTGTTATCTGTCAACATGCATGCATCTTCACCACACCCCCAGTTAAGTTTGAGAACCATTGACACGGGCTACTGCACAGTATGAAACATCGGTTTACTGTTCAAATTTGAGCCAAAGCTTAGACTCAAAACAGAGTAGATGCAGTTTAACATTGGATTTAAGGGCAGGTCTGAGGAGTTGCTGCTGGAACGGGGGTCCTCATKCCACTTTTCCCGTCCTACTGTGCATCTGCAGCGCATGCCACGCCCAGAAAGCTTCGATGCACTGGAAAAAGCAACTTTCAAAAAGCCAGCTGATCCCCAAGCCTGATGCAAGAGGTACAGCACGATGCTCTGCTGGGCGGGGGAACAGGGCCACCTTGCTGTCGCAGTCTGCTATTACTCCATACAGCCTTTGAGGCTGGACTAGGATTTTTAAAAATCTGTTCCAACACTTCAGTTCATCAAAAACTGGCTCTAAAAGAAGCAACCCAGGCCACTCGTATGTTGCATGTTCATGTTGCATGCTCTCTTCTTGCACTTAAAGAGTTCATGTGAATGAGCAAAGCGAAACCAACTAGGCCGGTTAGCACGAGCATCTAGCCTTGTCAGTAAGAAGGGATAGGGGAATCTTGTTTGCTTCAGTGATCAGAACAGACTCATACAGGGACTTTTACTCCACTTTTACTCCAACAGACTCATACTCCACTTTTTATGGAGAAAGAAACATAGCAATCCCTTTCCTTTGCAGTATTTGAACGTTAAACACACTCAAGACAACCCGATCGCTTCACAAGCTATACCTTAACCATGTTCCTTAACCATGTGGATGAATTACCGCAAACAACTCACTTTATGTTTTCCCTACCTCTTCACATTTCCTCTGGCTGTGCTCCTGCCACCGAGTTCCCCACAGCACAGGGCACCTTGGGCCTGTGCCTGTTCTAAACAACGAGATGTTTTCAGCCATACTTCTGTTTTTTCTCCGCTTTCTTTGTAGCTTGCTAGATAAATTTGCCTCGCACCCCTCTTCTGAAGACGGCKGAGATGTATCTCAAGTGCAATTACCATTACCAAGCCCAGAGGGGAAATGAGTTCGGACTCTCGGTGTCACGGAGCACGCCCCTCTGCCCGCCTCACGGCACTGCKGCCCTCACCGCCATGCCACCGCTCAATGGCCCTGGTTTGACCCCTTTGTAGGCACCCGCCGCTCCCCGCAGTCACGGCGGCCCTGCAGTGGCCGGAGCCCCGACGGGACTCCCCCGGTACAAACCCTCCCCGCGCCCTCCCCGCCCCCGCGGGGCCCCGGCCGCCCCCGCCGCCATTTTGCGCCGGCCGAGCCCGCCAGGAGGGGCGGCGGGGCTGGCTCGGGTGTGGCGGTGCCGGCGGGAGCGGCGGCGGGGCCCGCCCTGGCCGCGCCCCGGCTCGGCTGCCCGGCCCCACTCACGGCAGCGGCGGTCGGGTCGGGCTCACGGGGGGGCCGCCATTGTTGCGGTGCCGGCGGGGCGCGGCAGGGGGCGATGGCGGGAGGAGGCGCGGACGGCGGAGGGGAGGGTGTTAGTGTCTCTCTGGTCGGAAGGGACCCGCAGGGACCATCGACTCCGACTCCTGGCCCCGCACACCCCAAGGGTCCCGGTGCCTGAGAGCGTTGTCCATACGCTTCTTGAATTCTGTTACGCTTGGTSCTGCGGCGACTTCCCTGCGGAGCCTATTCCAGCGCCCAGCCACCCTCTGGGGGAAGAACTTTATTCTAATATCCAACCTAAACCTCCTCGGTATAACTCCAGGCCATTCCCTCGGGTCCTGTCACCAGAGAAAAAAGATCAGTGCTTGTCTCCCCCTTCATAAGGAAATTGCAGACTCTGATAAGGTTTCTCCTCAGTCTMCAGATTGGACAGACCAGGTGACCTCATCCACTCCTTCTAATGGCTTCTCCTCACTGCCCTTTGCCATCTTTGTTGCCCTCCTTTGGACACTAACWGCTCACTASCTTTCTTATAATGTGGTGTCACCTCACGGTGGCACTGGGACCGCCTGTGTCTCAAAAGCAGCATTTTCCGAGGGTCCCTCTTCTCACTGGTAGGGTTGAGGGTTTCCTCAGTCTGTGTGTCACCGGAGGTGGCAGGTGTCCCGCAGCCATGGCCTTGGCTGCCGGGCGATTGAGGGAAGAGACGAGTGCAGTCCCCTGGTGCTGCTGCCCAGGCTTCCCCACAACCCACATCCCCTCAGCTCCGTGCTGGTCATCCAGACCACACCTGAGCTTGCTGCCAGAGRTCTGCTCTCTTTTGTGGTGCTTTATTATTATTTTTTCCAGAACAAGCCCTGGTCCAAGAGACACCATGAAACCAGTCTTGTTTTGTCAGTGCAGTCAAATAAAATCGAAAAACGAACAGTGTCTGTCCAGCAATCCCCAAAGAAAATTCTGGATCTAATCTGGCCATCTGATTCAACACACTGGTATTAATATTTAATTTAATCACTGCTGTCTTTAGCTCATCTTCTTCATTCCAGATTTATCCCTCCCCATTGTTCCATGTAAGCTGTGTCCCTGTTGGAGTTTATTTAAGTGAGCTGTCCAGCACTGTCCCTGAGCTCAGTGCTTAGGCTGTGGCATTTGTAAAGTGTGTGTGTGTGTGTGAGCACTGCTGGATTACATGATCCYGAGCCTTGGCTTGCAGTCTTGATTCATCTGAAATTAAATTATGAGTGTATCAATAACGTCAGAGKACGTTCTGCTGCTGTTCCTTAGTGCATCCTACCCACTTTGATATTTACTGTATGTGCTTCCTGGCTGAGGAGTTGAGTCAGGCATTATTCTCAGGGCTCTTGCCAAGCCAGTTTGTTCTGTTACCCTAGTAGCTTCCAGCTTCTTATTTACACCTTTTGCCCTATCGTTGTGATTTAGTGGAATACTACTACCTGCTGTTTCATTCTCCCAAATAAAACTGTTTCTTCCCATGGCAGGCTTCTAGCAGTTTCCAGTCAACTACAATCAGGAGCTGATTACATTATTTTGCATTGCTTAGTTGTCTATGACAAGTGAGAAGGTGCTATGTTGTAGCTGAAGTTAATTAATGTATCTGCTTTCTAGGACTTGCAACACCCCTGGAACTGTGGAAGGTGAGAGCGGGGAGAAACATGGTGTAGAAAGATAATCAGCAGAACAAAAGGATGTGCAGGTATGACCAAAAAAAAGACAATGGGAAATACAGGACAAAAAAGGGAGTGAATAGCCCAGCTTCTTCTTACTGTTACATGTGGTTTATGTCAAAGTGACAAGGTGCTTATGAGACCTATTGATTGCAAACTTTCTCTAGCTTTTTTTATACATTATCAATATAAGAATGTAATAACTTATTACATATTATTAAAATACAATGTAATAGCTTTCAATATATTATCAATAATAGCMTTTTCWTATATTTTTATAAGTTTTATATAGGGTATTAGCAACATACAGTGTATCTGCTGGATGTAATCCAGCCAGCTGGATTAGTATGTGGACACATAGAATYACCAAGGAGCATAAATCAGAAAAAGTTCTGAAGAAAGTAGACAGGTAGATGCTGTAACAAGGAACAGTAGAGAGCTCTAATGAGAACTTGGCAGAGGCACAAGACAGTCAGCAAAATAAYGGAAAATGAAGACTTGGAGGACTAGAAAAAACCATGAACATCACAGCTGTKCATGCCCTGAAGACAAAAGTGAAAAGTCCACCATGATGAAGAGGGTTGTCTCTCATTAGAGGAAGGCACACTAGCGGAAAGGAGACCCCCATGACCACCGAATTGAGGATGACACACGCGTACTTGTAAAACTATGATATGTATTTCTGTGCCCACATATGGTAGTGAACGTATAGTGGGTGTATGGGGGGGGTGTAGTGACAATGGTAATGTTACACCATGCTTACTGCATAAATAACTGCCAATTCTAAGCAAAGGCAGGGGCGTTATGAGGAGAAATCCCCCTCACCTCCAGTGCTACACCACCACTGCAATAAACAAATACATTAAACAAATGCTCTGTAGACACAGGTCTATGGGGTTTTATTTCCAGGCCTTTTTCGGGCATCATTACACTGCTAAAAAGCCCTGTTAAGACACTATTTTGTATGCAAAGCTGCAGGGATTTTTAATTTTTTTCTCCCATCTTGCCTTTCTGCTACTGTGCCTTCCTTGGTGGATACAGTTGCCTTTACCTTCAGAGTGGGTATGACTCCTACATGACTATTTACTCTCTGAAAATCTATTTCATACATTTTATGCCAAAAATTTGTCTACAGTTCCCAGCTATGCTTGTGTTGGCCTAACTACCCCTGCTGACCTTTTTTCCTGGTAATTTTCCAGCGATGAAAGCTGTGCAATATCCATCCARTTTTGGTGAAGCTTTATTGGTACTGAAAGGTACTTACTATTTATAGATATTTTCTCTCCTATTTCCATATGCAAAGAGAGACAGCTGCTGTAAGACACCAGTATTACTATGTCCATGCTGGGACATTTGCTGTTGCCTYTTCCCAGGCTGGCATTTTCCCCTGCACACTATCACCACCCTGGGGACCCAACTTATGCTGGCCTCATCTCACAGCTACAGATAACTCTTTCAGAGCCTATATCTCGTTACACCACTGGAAGAACTGCTCCCCCCACATCTTGTCCAGGTCTGGAGCTCATTTAAATGTTGGGGATTTTATCTAGCTGCCTGAATAAATAAACAGTCCTATGGCAGAGGGAGCTCAAGGCTGTATACAGGAATCAAACAACAGGTAGGTACAGGATTGATTTAAGCTAACCTAACTACTGGTATGGTRGAAAGAGGCAGTTGTGCCCTTGTGTTTGGCTGTATGTTGTGCCACTTCCATATGGTTTTGGGATCTGATCCATTTGGACAGTAGCTGGGTTTTTTTAATTTTTTTTTTAGTATTTATATTTTTGTTGGGTTTTTTTTCAAGATTAGTTATGAGATTGAACAGGTCCCACATCCTGTACATCACATGGCTATACAAATAGGAGCATGGTTACTGAATCTAAGGGCTCTTAGTTACATCTGCCTCTAATCACTCCCATATACATTCTTTCACATGTTCTGCTATGCATTCTGGTTTCCTATCATGTGCTAATTGATTCATTATTTTATGCTAATCACACAGTCACATGCTAGTCATTAACTGTTCCATATGTTGAACTCATGATGTATATGTTTAAATATTGTATCTCCYGGTCTGCCAATCCTCTTTTATGTAATACCACACATATGTTGAAGATCTTCAGACTTTAAACTTCCTGCTCATTAGTTTTGTGTATAATTTTTCAGTTACTTTCTGGAGCTCCTTTTTTCTRTTGTGTAACAACTGTAATTAAAGCTACTGAGGCATAATTAGTACTTTAACCGATGGTAATACAATATCTTTGAGAGGAGATGGAARTAGTTTTGAAGCATCTTATAACTTATCTGAAACAACGAGCATAGTAATGTCATCACAAACCCTAAGTGCAGTCGAAGTTAAATTAGACCACGGAAGTTTTGCAATACTTAAAATTTCATAACTGGTTCAGAAAATGTGACTCCGGCAAAAAAAAAAAAAAAAAAAAAAAAAAAAAAAAACAAAACTGGGAGGAGGCTAAATGAGTTCCTGTAATCTTTCTGATGAGGAAGTTAACAAGTCCGAAATGAAAAAATATTGAAAGAAGGGTGTGTCACTCTCAAAATCCCAATCTGCAGAATTTTAGAATGAAGAATTTAAGAATAAAGAATTTAAGGAATCCAGAGATGCATTCAATTTTTAATTTCTATAGGAAGAAGGGCTTCTTCTGGTGTGACTACTTTACACAGCACACAAGATTTACCAGAAACAGGTTGACATGATTACACTTGTGTGAAAAACAAAAAATGGTTATCCAGAGGTATTTCTWCTTTATGCTTGAGATACAGAATTTGATCCTTTGTACCTGTAATCCCAATGTAACACAGATTTAGGTGTGTATGTAGTGCACTCACTGTATAAATGCTCACCATCAGCATGGTGTAGAAAGATCTGTGGAATTCAGACCATCCTCATTTTATACGTTGTTCATTGCAGAAACTGCTGGCCTGGGGGGAAACAGCTGTACCCTCACAAGCTTTTATCTTCCAAGCCCTGAAAGAAGCAGCTGAAAGTCCTGTTGCATGTAGATAAGAAATGGCAAGAGGCTGGGAGTAAGATCTGGGTAAAAGGTGTCTCCCCTAGAAAAAACTAGTTCTTAAGCACAGTATGTTTTCTGCCAGGAAGCAATCCCAGTAGAAAGGGAGGCAAATAGTCTTGAGTAAGAGCTTGGGCTGGGCTGTCCTAGCGGCTGCTTCTCTGCATGCTTCCTGCTTGGGCAAAGTCAGGCACGTAATGGTTTCTTTCCCTCTTGGCACTTTTGAAACTCCCAATTTCCAGAGCACAGACTAATCTTGCAATGTAAACCCTACGGCTGCAACTGGGCAGACACAAGCACTGCTGATGTACCAGTGTCTGCAAACCATTGTGTGAGTGGGCTCT